CCAGCAAGCAGGGATGTGGGCAGGAGCCTGGACTCTATCCCTTCTCTGGGAGTGGAGCCCTAAGCACAGAAGTTACACATAAACTGTTTTAAGGGATCAGAAACTGGCTTAAACCTGCAACAGAACAGAAGCTCAGTGCACATAAACCAGTTTCAAAATGGCTGAAACTGATTTAAGATAAACCTGGTTGAATGTAGTATCAGACTTAACTGATCTGGGTCAAGCCAGTTTATGCAACTTCTGTCCCTGACCCCTTCCTGGTTCAAGTTAAACCAGAGTATCCTAGCATCCCAGCATGCTCTGGAACCCTGGACTGTGCTGTCTGCTTCAGACAGCAGGGCTGACTCTGCCCCTCTGCTCTTTATCCAGGGACAAGGGGTAGGGGCATGGCCACACACCAGCCAGTATGGCCCCCTGAGGTGAAAGGAGCAGGATAGGGGTTTACTCCCCTCTCTCACCAGGGGACGGCAGCTGCGGTCTGCCTAGCTGGGGTGTAACAGCCTGTCAGGCAGGCTGAGGGTTGTGAGGCTGAGCCGGGTTGGCCCACAGGGGCTGCTGAGGGTGGATGCATAGGGGTCGGCCCAGGTTGGGCCTTGGGGGACGGCTCTTGGCTCAGTCTGGGGGGCACAGGCAGTGGCTACCCAAGCAGAAGGCTGCCCCGGACCAGCTTGGAGGTGCTGGTGAGCCTCCACTGAATACTCCTACTCCCCCTCCTATTTCTGCCCCTAATGCACCACTCTGGGTGGTGAGGTATGGGGTAGTTTTAGCCTAGCGGGTTGTGGAGATCCAGCTCCAGCTCTAGCTGCTTTCTACCCGCTCCCCCCGCAGGGGCTGCTCATTGTACCAGGCTGGTAGAGAAAGGCAGCCAGACCTGGAGCCAGAGCTATGTGCTCTGGGCTGAAGCAACCCTTCCCCCACCTCTCCCTCCCCCCAGCTTTGCTGCTGGAAGTGATACAGCAGGGGCAGGAGGGACAGTAGAAGTAGCTGCTGGAGGCAAGGAAAAGTTGCATGCTGGTTGGGCTCAGCAGGGCTTTTCTGCTGCCCTCACCTCCAGCTGTGGCTACTGCTCCTTCCCTCCCGTGTGCCTCTGGGCTGGGCAGGTGGAAGCTTTAGCCCCTCAGTGTCTGTCCAGTGCCTGGAGCTCTGGCTTGAGCTCCAGCAGCTTTCTGCCCGCTCCCCCTGCCCAGCTTGATGAGCAGCTCCCACAGGGGGCGGGGTGGGGAGGACAGAGGCAGGAGGAGCTGGAGCCAGACCTCCATGCACTGGGCACAAACCACAGTTAAAGCTTCCACCCGCGCAGTCTGTAGCCCCTACCCACAGCACAGCCACCCACCAGGAAGAGGCTTCCACTCCTAGGACACCATGACAGGGGCTACTACCACATCGCAGTCGCTATGCCCTTGCCGCTTCCGCAGCAGGGGCAGGGCCACAGCTGGAGGCTGGCCAGCATGGCCCCCTTAAGTGAGGGTGCAGTTTGGCAGAGGGGGCAGGGAGGGAGCTTATTCCACCACTCGCCCTGCACAGGGAGCGATCAGTGCAGTGGCAGTCGGGGCTGGCAGACCCTGGCTGCAGCTCCCTGGTGACAGAGTGGGGAATAAACCTCCTCCCTGCCCCCTCTGCCTTAGGGGGCCATGCCAGTCCACCTCTGGCCATTCCTGCACCCCTGACAGGGCAGACCCTGGTTAAGGTCCATGGGACAGAGAGAGGGGAATTAAACCCCTTCCCTGCCCAGTTCACTTGAGGCTATTGCTGGGGCTGGCCACACCCCCTCCCCTCCAACACACCTTCCTTGCAGCTGAGGGCTACTCTAGTGCCCCACGGCTTCTGGCCTAAGCCACTATAGGCATGTGCTTGAATTTTCCAAATGTCTATTCACTTGCAAATTGGCTCAATCTAGGCAAATTAGAGTAATCTGCAAAGATTGAATCAATTCAGACTCTGGCTTTTTGAATGTCTGTCCCTACTAGCCCTGAGGTTTAAACACAGCAAGAGAATAGCACCCAGGGAAGCATGCATCCCCCAGCTCTATGCTCTTGCTGCTTGGTGACTCCACTCCCAGCACAGAGCTACCGGAGTGTTACCTCAGCAACACAGACCCCAGAGAAGCATGCCTAGCCAGGCTTCATGCTCTCATCATAATTAGTGCAAGGCAGCCCGTTTCTTCCCTCTCCCTCTCCCTCCAGGAATGCAGGAGGCTAGGGAAAGGAGGCTAGGGCCATATCTCTCCCCACCGATTCTTCTGGCTCAGAGAGAACTGCCTGGATATGGGACAAAAGCTTAGCCATCTGAGGGGACGATCGCATGCCATGGGCCCAGATCAGGTCTCCTGGGGTCCTTGCAGCTGGCAGCATGGTGCCATGCATCTCTGGTCATACCTCCTAAGGGTGAGTAGGGGTGTTGGCTTGGGGCCAGTACCACCCCCTAAGCAGTATATGTTGGAAGGGTGGAAAGTTTGTCAAGGGTAGAGGGGCTGGGAGCTGTATATCCTGTGATGCTGAATGACTGTAACTTTGTCGTTTTATCTTTGTGGAGCAGACTAACAATACTCTAGCTTAAGCTAGGTAGAATGGTAGATGAGGAACCCAAGGTCAGATAAATGGTAGATAAGATTCATGGTGTCTTTTATAACACAACAGCCATGAACTTGTTATTAGTGGGCATCATCTATAAAAATGCCACTGTACATACACTGTCCATCAAGAACAGAAATGTAATTATTCCTAGTCCGTATGGTTTTATGGAGAATAGGTCATATTAAACCAAGTCTGATTTTGCTCAAGTCTGACAGACAGCAATATCAGTGCAGATTCAATAGATTGTGTAAGCTGTTTGACTTAGTAACACATAACAATAGCAATAAAGCTCACTTTACATTGAGTAAGACCTGGATAACTGGCTTACCTTAAGAAGTATCTATCAGGGGATATGCATTATCCAATAGGAAGAATTATAAGGGTTTTTCAGGGATCAATATTAGGTCAGATGCTACTCAACATTTTTACCAATGGTGTGGAAGTAAGCAATTACTGCCGGTTAAACTGAGGATGGAAAAGATGGCTCTATGATATGGATATAGAAATCTGGAATACTTGGCAATCGGGACCCATTCAAGTAAAGCACAAGTTCATTCAACCAAATGCAAAGTCATACAATGATGAAGAAAGAATGCAGGCTATGCATAAGCCCAGCTTCCTGGAATGCAGAGACTCCAGAGATGATTTGGAGGTCACAGTGAATGAGCAACTTCGTCTGAGCTGTCCCTGCAATGCTGTGGCCAAAAAAAGCTAATATGGTTCTTAGTGGTCTAAACAAGGCCCTAGCATTTTGGAAGCGAGGTGATTTTCTCTCTCTGCACACATAATGGGTGAGATCAATAATGGAATCCTGTATCCAGTTCTGGTGTCCATACATTCAAAAGGAACGTGGACATTCCTCTGATTTTGGATAAATTCAAGGGTCAAAAGGAGCTACGTTATGAGCAAATTGATAGATTGCTTATAAAATACCAAATCTCTTGACTGATGCGCTTTTAGCCATCTGACTCACACATACCTTATGTTGGTATACCTTAAGGTACACATAATAACCATTAAACCTTAAAAAACTATTTCATATCATCATAGAAAAGTAGGTCTCAGGAGGTATTCTAGTTCAAATTGCTGCTCAAGAAGGCTCATCCCTGACTAAACCATCCTGGACAAGTAACTGTCAATCCTATTCTAAAACAGTTGACGAACAACCCTCTCACACAACTACCAGGCACAATGTCCAAACCATCAAAAACTCAAACTTGCCACATAGAAAACAGGGGAATAAGACTGTGGTGTAACTAGAGTGGGGTGACCAGGGCAGCTGTCTTGGCTGCCAACTTGGGTAAGGGGGAGGAGGGGGCACAGAAAAATAAAAAATAAAAAGGCTGTGCCACAGCTGCACAATCACATCAGCAGTGCAGTGGCAACCAGAAGTTGTTGGTGTCTCTAGATATGGCAGCTGGCCTGGGTGCCTAGTCCGTCCGTACACTCTAGCACCAGAGTGCTGTCAGTGTCTTGCCACTGCAAGGCCAGGAAATAGCTGTTAAACATTCTCAAGAGCTTGAAGGAAGAAAAAAATGAGCCCTCCCCACCCTGCATTAGAGAGGAAGGCAGAACCATTCACTGTCCTCGCCAGTCTGACTGGTAAAATCCCTTCCTGATCCCAAATGTGGCAATTGGTTTGACTCTGAGCCGAAGAGCAAGAACTGCTAGCCAGGAGTCTCTAGGAATTTAAGCCCCAGTCAAAACCCCTACCATTAGCTGGAATCAATACCCACTGCTTCTGAGAAAGACAAATACTCCTGTTGATGCAGCCCAAAATAGCAGTCACTTTTTTGCAGCTACATCACATGACAAACTCATATTGAGTCCATGATCCACCCAGGTCTCAAACTCTCTCTCTGCAGTGCTGCTATCCAGCCAGTTATCACCCATTTTATATCTGCATTTTTTATAATTCTTTGCTAGGTGCAGCACCTTGCAATAATATGGCTATATATAAAGTACTACCAACCTGGGATATTCTCCAATAATAAAATTATGTTGCTGAGAAGAGGAAGAAATGTCAACGTACTGAGAAGAAAAACATGCACCTCAGTGACCAACTCTATCTCTGACCCCACATTCCTTGTCTTCAAGGATGTGCTTTGCTTCTTGCATATTCCCTGGACCATCACAGCCATAATTACACTATGGTTGTATCTACCTATGCACATTAAAGGCAAAGCAATAAACTCTGATGCATATCACGCCGGAGTTTATTGCTCCTGGGCACACTATTTACATGTGCATCTAGGACCGCAGCACATTGAGCTGGGGCAGAGCAGTCTTGGCTTCCATGGAGCCAGGGTTCAGCCTGCCATCCCAGAGCTGCTTCAGCCTGGTTTAACCTGCTGCAGAGGGGCTTGCTGGGACACAAGGGTGCTCTAGTGCAGGGCTAGCCAGCAGGCAGCCCCTGCACTGAAGCACCCTCATACCCTAGCTAGCTACATCAGAGTCTATACATACATTGCTGTGCACAGTAAATCTCCACAGCAGGACAGTACTTGCATTTACAATCACATGTACCTGTATTTACAAATATGAACCTGCTGAGGAATTTATTAATTTCCTGTGGCCTAATAGGGCCATATGTGTAGATACTGAGACACTTACTGAGGAGCCAATTGGTCCACTCCACAGTAAACATCTCATGTAAACACACCCTACAACACTACAGCCAAAATCCTTGACCGTTTACTTAATTTACTGTTGGATCATCAAAAGGGTCCAACTTCCCGCTGACAGGTGCAGAAAAAAAACCCAAAAACCAGCACTTTCTCTAAACAGGAAGAGTGTCAATTTGACTCAGCTCCCCAATATCTTTATAGATTGTGTGCTTCAGCTGGGCTTTCCGGCACTTTTATCTAATAGTTGATTCAATCAGCTATTAGATAAAAGTGCCAAAAAGCCACGCTGAAGTGTGCATCTATACAGACATTGGGCAAGCCGGGTCAAACCGATGTGATACTACTTCTGGTTATGCACTACGCTCGATATACAGGGGCACGCCAAGCTGAAAGTAAAGCACTGGATTTTTTTCACGTTTATTAGCAGCCTCATGTCCAACTTCCTTACGTCCTTTGAAAAATCCTAGCCTGAGTCATTTAATTGAAACTGTGATAATTTACAGAGGCTAAAAAGGCAGCAACCATTAATTTCCTTATCATTATTAATGTAAATTTATAAACTCGATTTTTTCCTCCCACCCCTCTGAGAGAGATCAAGACTGTGCCATATACACACACCAATTCCCCACAAATATTTAAAATACTTATCCAGTGGCAGGTATTTTCCATATTACTGTCAGCAACATGTGTATACAAAATCCTTCTTTCTTAAAAAAAAAGAAATAGAAAGTACTGGTCAGGCTAAGTGTGAACAATTTGTCACGTAAAATTAGTCCAATTTATGTTTACAGATTCTTTTCCAGCAGCTGCTAATATCTGCCAATATTACTTTGTTTGTTAAATCACTCACCAATTTTTTTACTTAGATCAACTTTAGACCTAGGGACAGCTTGCAAACTATTCATGTCAGTCACCTGTTTGTGATCTGTAATCAGCTCGCTGTTTGTTATCTGTAGTCTCTGACTGTCACTTCGATCACATTGTAGTGCCTTTAGTCATTGACAGATGATTGGATTTTAAAAGCAGTCAATGATGGCCAATCTGTTCTCTGTGGGGAACAGAACTAGGTCAGTGCTCAGTGCTTTGGAAAATCCTTCTAAGAGAGAGCAGGCATTTCACAAATATGCATTAACAAATGTGGAATAGTGGACAACAAGCATTCCAGTGAGGGTCATACTTTCCAGATCCTACATTTTTATTAAAAAAATCATTTGTACTAAAATTTTCAGGACTCAGTGACATATTCAGCAGCCAAATGGTGGTACAGAGAGTACCCAGGGACAATGAATAACATGACCCGTGAAGATAAATGCAAAGCAAATGAACAAGTCACATTGCACCTATACATATGCAGGGAGGCTGCTCTGACACACTGTAATTACAGTGCATTGGAACAGTCTTGATTATCTGAGTCTGCTGGAGTGTGGTAATTACTGTGCTCCAGCAGACTTCAGTATCAGATCTATCAGTGTCCCCGCGCTGAAAAATGGTGGCAGGAGCAATTGAACTAAAGCTCGTGTGATGAGCCTCCATTTTTCAGTGCAGGGATGCTGATACATGTGACGCTCTGACTTTTTTAATTAGAGTGGCTCTTGGAGAGTGTGTATAAATGCCCATTTTGTATTAAAACAGGAATTTGCTTTACTGGTTAAGAGACATCTTCAAAGAATCTCTAGTTTCAGCCAAGCCAGCCAATTCAAGTCCACCTTTGACATAGTGACCTCTGTTTATATGTTCTGTTCTTAGAGTGGTCACAACAGGTTTCACTGTCCAGAATAGGAAGGTAGCAATTGGAAAGGGTGGGCAGGGAGGAAAGATGCATGCAAAATTAGATATGACCAGAAGGTGGCACTGTATATTCATAGTTTTTCAACTGTGCAGGGGGTGGAAATAAAATTGCTTTTTAGAGTACAATCTTACCTAAGCCCAAATAATAAAAAGCAATGCAAATATGCAAATACCTGGTCATTCAAGAAATGTAAAAGCAATAGTCTCCTACCGTGGTACAAATACATGAGATGTGTAGCCAGGGTACACCCAGTGGTCTGAACTGTCCACCATTGGAAGGGATGGTGGTCAGGCAAGAGTGCTGAGAGAGAGGCCTGGCCCCTGGGAGCAGTTCCCTATACTCTCTACAGAGCCAGGCTGAGACAAAGTGCTCAACTATATACAAATTTATTGCTACAATAAATAAATATGAATAAGAAACATTACATATTTACTGTAAAATTAGTATGTGACACCTTATACAATAACCTGCAATCAACATATTGCACCACTTCAAGGGACTGCAAAAACATGAACCAGGTGATTCACAGCATATGCAGTAATTAATCCCCTTGCACAGAATAATCATTAACACTTTGGAACAGGTAAATCAAGGCATCAACACAATAAACACATATGAGCATCATCTTAGATAAATCCAGATAGGTTGAGGTAGCAATGCCATAGACATACACAGGCAACCATACAGGTAAGTTCAGATCATAGACAATAGACATATATAGGCAATGAAGACAAATAAACCCATATAAACCGCCTTAAGGAGTACCCATAACTATATTAACCTCTACACCCCTGTTAACTATATTAACCTCTGCGCACTGTGGGGCCCGAGCAGCCTTGAGCTGCTCCCAGGGCCATCTCTCCATGCGTCAATCCACGCACTGCCTACCTAGCCGCTTACTGGGTTCACAGGCTCAAGCTGCCTTGAGTGGCTCCCAGAGCCTAAGCATCATGCACCAATCCACACACCATAGAGGCTCAGGTGGAGTCCCGAGGACAGTCATCTCTGGAGCTCCTGTCTTCCTGCCATCCCTCACTGCATCTCTCCCTCCCAGCATGCTGAGTACACTCTCCTTATATACGCTTCAGGGGCTCCACCCCCAAAGCTCTCCAGACCTGGCAGGGCACAGTCTCTAACGAAGTCCAGACTGCTCCTTGCCCCCTCCCTTTGGGGAATGGGCGTGGCCTTGTTTACCTTGGCTTGCTACTGACTGGTGGATGGGCTCCACCAACTGGGATTGCAGAATCTCAAGCCCAGGACACATCCAGAGCTCAAAAGGTAAGTCTGTTACAGATGTATTAATGAAAGAATATACTATTTACAAGACTATTTCCCAGACGATAAATAACCCAAATTCCTCTGACAGGACCAACGTACAGTGTCTGCAATTATGAATCTGAAGTAGAACCAAAGTATAGCCCAGGTAACTCAGATATATACTCCCCTTCTACGATTGGAGGGGATTGTTAGCTGGCAGGTGTGCTGTGGGGAAACTGCAGACCGCTCAGTTTCCCTCCGTCCCTATAGAACCAGGCCAGGGCAGTCAGGGGACTTAGCTATATACACATGTATTTACATTAACTTATCACAAGGAAAAGGAACATGGATATAAACATATGTACTATATATCTATATCTATATCTACATAAATAATATAAAGAATACCCTCTGGGTAAATGCCATAAAACCTTATACCACTGCTCCAGATACAGGTAAGTCACAGGTAAGTATCTGATCTGAAACAGATAACCCCCAAAATAAACATAGATAGCCAACAGATAAACTATAGATAAGTATGGGTGAACAATAAATAAGCCACAAATAAATACAAATAAATAACAGGTGAAATAATAGCAACAGGGGGTCCCAGCAAAGCCCTTGGACTTTATTCATCTACTAATTTACAACATGAGAGTTCACAAAATATAAGGCATAACATCACACCATTTATGGCGCAAGAAACCCAAAGATAAACTCAATCCCAAGGGGAAACCCCAATGCCCTTGGGCTTTTCCCAAGCCCTACAAAGAAGCTGGTAACTTTAGGGGGGCACTCCCAGTAGGACCTCAACTTTCAGGAGCCCTTAACTAACCAGGGGGGACTCCCCTCTCCTGTGGGAATCCTCTTTTCCATGCAACTCATGGCTCTCAGGCCTGGAGGGTGGCCCTCATCCTCTGCGCCAGGCTGCTCCCTTGCCTGCAGTGGGCTTCAGGGGGTCGCTGTCCTCTGGAACAGGGCTCCACTATGCATGGCTTCTGGGTCCTCTGGCTCAGCCCTGTCTGCTGGCTCAGTAGCCCGAGTACCATCTGGCTCCCTGGACTCAACTCTTTGCTATGGGTTGGAGGCCTGGGCTGCCTCATGCAGCAAGAGGCTCAGTCTGCTCCTGGACCCTCCGTGCAGCGTCTCCTGCACTGAGCTCCCAGTCTCGTTTTGGGGTTGAGGACCTAAGCTGCCCAAGCGCTCCAAAGGTCCCACTCCATGCATCATCCCGTGCACCATGTCTCTGGCCGCACGCCAGAGGTTGCAGACCCAAGCCACCTCACGCATCTCCCAGGGTCTGGACACTGTGTGCCATGCTGCACCCCAAGAGCCTAGTTGCTGGAGCCATCTGCCATTCCCCACTGATGGAAGTCTTCTGGGGAGTTTCTGGGCTACTGCTTCACCCTGCTGAGCAGATCTCCTCAGCTCTTCTAAGCCCCACTCTTCCCTCTTCTCTGTCCCAGATGTGTTCCCCTCATACTGGGCATGCAGCTCCTTTTATATGCTCCAGGGCTTCACCCTTGAAGTCTTCCGGACCTGAGTGTTGCAGTCTTCAATCAGGTCCAGGGGGAGAGGGGTGTGATGTAACTCCTCTTGCTGCCTCCTGATTGGTGGATGAGCTCCACCAATCAAAACAGCAAGATTTCAAGCCTGGGACTCAAACCAAGCTCCAAAAGGCAAGCCTGCTACAGAAGTATATTGTTAATGTAAAAGGGCTTAGTGCACACATGTCAGTGAAAAATATATTACCAAAATTTACTAATTGCAGTAGCTACCTCAATTTCAATGCATGGTCAGATATTAGATGAAGTGCTGTAATAGAACAGCAACCAACCTGAACCTTGTTTGCAGAAATTTTCAGAAACAAAGTAAAACCCAGTCCTGAAGGTGCTAACACTACTCAGTTTGGAGGAGCCTAGATCCTTAATCACCACTATAATAATTATACTGGCTTTCTAAGAACAAACATATAAGAAACTTCTGGAATCGTTTCAGAGCCATGCTCAGACTCATGGGGCATGTCTAGATGTGCATGGACATTTGGTTCCCTGGGGACAAGCAGCAGTGGTGCACCTTGTGCCGCAGCTACTTGTCCCCAGGGAACGCCTGCGCAACACATGCTTTGGCGCGTGGCAAGTTACCCTGGGGGAGGTGTTACCAGATTTCCCCATTACTTTGGGGTGTGCTCATTTATTTGGGATGCGTTTCTAGGGTCTTTGTAATTCTATCAATGTGCTGCTTGTGTTACTATACGGAGCTGTCTCTCTCCCTTCTGCAAGCCCTCACCCCCAATGGAGCTATCTTGCAGGACTCAGTTTCAGTGGGGCTGGGTTCCTCCAGTCACCGTATCAGTCATACACACAAACACACACAGATTAACGTGACATGTCTGACCTGGTCGGGTTGATCAGCATGGACAGGCTGACACCCTCATATGCCAAGAATCAGTTCATCAGAGCAACAATAACTACAGTCAGACACAAGCATGCAGGTGAACAGTATACCTCTGAATCCAGCTGGGTGTCCAGATGACACCCTCATGGGCCAGCATTCAGTTCATTAAGGCACGTCTGAGCCAAACTGGGTCAATCAGCCTGTACAAGCTGATCCCCTTATGTGTTTCAAACTCAGCACGTCCCAATCTTTTAGCCTCTTGATGAGCAGACCCCACAGTATTTTGGGGCTACACAGGGATCTTTAGCTTAGGTAAAAGAAGCATTGCTGCAGAGCAAGTGGGGAAGGAGAAGTAGAGAAGGAAAACTATACCCAGTTACTACCAGTTTGACTATAAAAGTTATTTATTGCTAAGTATACGAAATATATAATAGCACTAGTAGTAATAGACATGCAAAGGAAAAACAAACACAAACAATTACAGTATTACCCTAGTTTCACTAAGTATTTGGGGAAACTTAGCTCAAGCTTATCTAATACAGTTCAGGTTCAGAAATCTATGCTTAGAGAGAGAAGAGAAAAGAGAGAGAGCTGGAATCTCACCAGTCCAAGGCACTCGGGTTGCAAAGCTGACAGGTTAAAGTTCTCAGCCCGATCCTTGAAGGGAGACGATCTGCCTCCTTCAGCCCCTCGAGAAGAAAGCATGTGGTGTCAGCACACACACCACTGCTTTTTTTAACGATTTTTATATCCTCAGTTCAGCTCCTTTCAAGCATTCTCAATAGTGTAAACCAAATTGTCTTTTCTATTGACAAGGGGTTATCTGGTTTGGAACATCTGAGGAAACTGATTGATAATCAGGAAATACATAAGGTTAGGGAGTAACCAGATACTTAGGAGCCAGCTTGAAATTCCTATGGATAGCAGATATACTGATGGGATATCT